AGAAGCACTTAATCTTGGAAGAAAGGGCATTCCTATACATTATTACCTTTAGTTTAATGAAAAAACACCTACATGGTCTTTACTTTTATGATTTCTTTCCTGGGCTAGTGAAACATTGTCACAATAAAGCATCAGGCCAATGCTTCTTTCCACCCACTGGCCAATCAGTTGACAAGCAGTGACTAGATGTTTCAGCCTGTTTTGCTGAGGCTAAAGGATTGAACTAGTGCTTCAGCCAGCATGAAAACCAGTCAGGAGTCTGTGCTGGTGTTGGCTTAGATTAGCAGGGCCTTTGATGGAGGGGCATATTTGTGTTTGGGTTTGCTGTACCAGGCAGGGGAGCGGTGGAATTGGTCTGAGTTGAGCTCACACATTGAAGTTATTGAGCGACTTACATGCAAGGCCATGACCTGGACTCCCAGCCGAGAGGCCCACGTGGCGGGGCTTGAGCTGGGGGAGCCGAGGACAGCTTACATCTGCTCATCTGCTTACGTAACCCTGCCTCCCAGCTTCCAGAGCCAAGAAAACACACAAGCCAGCCCAGCGGGGCTGAGAGCCTGTGGTAGCACACGCCATGCGCCACACAGCAAGGGCGCCTTGGCTCATCCTGAGGACTGTCATGAAGTCCTCAGCACTCTGCCTCCTCCCAGAGCCTCTCCTTGCGACCCCAGGCAGTGGCTCTGAAACCTGGTCGCAGGTCTGCATGATTCTGAACAGAGGTAGTCATTGCCCTCCTGGAGTCTCAGCTCTCTGGAGTTTCTCACTGGGACAGAGCCAGGTGTGTAGCAGACCATGGCCCCTGCAGTGTGGCAGGAGGTGTGCAGTTCACTCAGAGGGCCTCCTGGCTGGCACTCGACCCAATTAGTCATTCAATTCCAGGTCTGGGGCTGCTGTCTGTTGTCTCAGAGGTGTAAGCTGTAAGATCCTTAGAATTGTAGAGGCTTCAGAGAGAAAAGGTGGAGAAAAACTTACCAGATTGGGCAAGAAGGGCAGAATTGGGAGTCAAGGTGTCTCAATGTGTTGGAAGCACGATGGGGGTTATGCAAGAGGCACAGTGAGTTCAGAAGGGAGCAGGAGAGCGAGAAGAGGCTGTTCAGTGATAAAGCTCTGCACAGAGCCATTGGAGGAGTAAGCTCCTTGACCATCCTTAAACCAGGGTAATTTTTATTTAGGTTCTGCCACACACTCAGCAGGGAGCTCCTGGAAGGCAGGATTTGTCTTGTTCATCCTCCCTCCCTACCTCAACCCAGTCCTCCTTGGACTGGCACACAGTAGGTACCCAGAAAGTGTCAATTGAAACAAATTGAAAGTGGTCTTGACACATATCACAGGGCAAATTTGCATTTAACTGACATTTCAGAGTAAAGACTCTCTGGCTTGGTACTCGATCAGCTTCTGTGGATTGTCAGCATGCTGTGGACACCCCCGGCATGGGAGTGAGTGGGCGTGTGTGTGTATGCGAGGGTGAGAGAGTGTTAGTGTGTGTGTTGGGGTTGGGGAGAGAGGAGGAAGAATAGAAGATGGACCACCAGGGTAGCAGCTTCTGCCCTGGGGAGATGGTGGTGTCAGTTGCTGAGGGAATCCTGAGGAGAAGCAGGTCTGGCTGTAGGTGGCGATGGTGATGGGGTTGCATGAGAGTCCATTTGGGGCAGGTTGAGTTTAAGGTGCCCATGGCATATGGCTAGCCATGTTCTATTGGCTGTGAGGTCAGGAGAGAGACATGAGATGGAAACAGAGGTTTGGGAACTGTCATGTGCTTAAACTAAATACCTGGGTGTAGGGAGAGTGAGAAGAGAAGGGGCAAAGATGGACATCCAAGAAAGAGGCTGAGAAAGCCTGGGAATTGAAGTAAGAGGAGGCATAGGTAAGTGTGACGCTTGGTGATCAAGGCTTCTTTCTACCTCTCCTGTGCGGGACACTTACGTCTCCTGTCTGCCTGGACATTCATGCTGAGGGTAGGGAAGGTGAGAGCAAGGATTTGTCTAAAGGTCTCGCTTTGGATACCTGCACTCCTCCTGGTTTACCAAGGGTCACTGGGCACCTCAGGGCGTTCTGAGACCTTAGAGATCATCCAGTCCAATCCCTGCAGTTTACAAATGAGGAAACCAGTACCCTGAGAGTGGCTGTACTCTCCACTCTCAGGATACCAAAGATCATCTGGAAAGTCACTGGTGGAGCTGGACCAGGGCCCAGGCATCTCTTCTCCTGTCCGGGGCTCTTGACTTCAGGACCACCTTTCTGAAACGCATGATGGGGCAACACCAGGACACTTTCCAGCCTGCAGGTGTCTGTCCCGCGGAAGCGAGGCAGGCCACGTGTGAATTCCTGTTTCTTGGGTGGGTTTCAGAAGATATAAGTAAGTTGGCAGGGTGACAGCCCAGGTGCTTCTTGGGTTCCCCAAAATGGGGTTATGTTTAGCAGCATCCTCAGAACCAAAGGTGGGGTGGGGGCTGTAGATGTTGTGGGGGCCCTCTGAAGTGAAAAGAGCCCTGTGACAGATCTTTTCTTCATGTTTTTCACAAGTTCACTGTGCAGCAGGACCCCCCAGGGGGCTTTGCCCAGGGTTGGGTGTTGGGCAGCCCAGGCCTGGCCGACCTTGTGGGGAAGGGTGTGAATGGTGAGAATCCCCGAGGGCCCTCTTTGCCCGAAAGCTCTAAAGCTTGACATCAGAGATGCCCATCACATGGCCCATCAGAGCCCTACTACCCAGCTTGCCCAGTGAGAATCATCTGGACTCCTTGTTAGGTAGCCATTTAGGTCTTTCCCAAAATCCACAGACTCTCTAAGGGAAGGGCCTGAGATTCTGTATTTGTACTAACTTCCTCAAGCAATTCTGGTGATAGGTTTGGGAAAAACCTGTCCAGGGTGATCGCTGGCTGAGTCCTGGTCTTCTCTGAAGAGCACAATGCCTGCTCACTTCAGGGCACCCTGGGAGGTGGGAGCTGGCTCAGCAGGCAGTCTTACAGGGGACTGAGCTTCAAGGCCCCTGTCCCTCCAGGAGGTAGGTGCATGGCCAGAGAGAGGGAGCAGGGCTTCATAGAGGGAGCCCTGAGGATCTTATTCCCTGCCCCAGAGGGTCTGCTGCCTGAGCTCTGTGATAGCACAGAGAGTAAAAGGACCAAGCTTGGTTGAGGCCTCTCAATGCAAAAGTTTGCTGGTTAGAGGAGAGGGGGAAGAGCATTTCTGGCAAAGAGAAAAGTGTGGATAGGCATGGCTTAAGGGATGGGGAGGGAGACAGACAGAGCTGACATTGAAGGGCCTATTGCTCAGCTGTGGGCCTTGGCCTTCCCTTGTGCAGGGTCACACAGCCTTAGAGCCATTGGAGGTTTTAGTGGGAAAGTAACATGGTCAGGGCTGTATCTCAGAAGAAAACGGACTAATGGGAACAGGTCCTGTGATGGTGGACCTGGGTCAGCTGTGGAGGGAGGGAAGATGTGAGTTGTGTACTGGGGAAGGGGATGGAAGAGGCAGCTATCTGGTGAGAGGAACCAGGCCCACAGCTTTTTTTCTCAGCCTGTTCAATTCAGAAGGGTGAGTGATTCCGGGAGTAGGGGGTGCTCGGAGAGCCACACATTATTGATAAACAGGGCAGGCTGAGGCCTGCTCACTGGCCCTGGGCGGGTTTCAGGTTTTGATCTGTGCTTCTGGTTGGTATTCCTACCTGTTCTCTGGGTTCCTTCCTTTGTTCTTGTGGCTCATTTGCTTCACAGGTGAAGCCGGTTACACTAGAGTAACAGTTCCCAAAGTGTGTTCCCTGGAAAAATGGTTCTGTAGCCAAATAAGTTTGGGAAATGGTGGGTTAAATATAACGGAGGGGTTTTTTTTGACTGCACAACTTCTCAGAGCCTTTGGTGTGTGTCATGACTTTGCAGAAGCAGGATTTAAAATGCAGCGTTCCCTTTCTTATTTGACCACAGGACGTGTTTTTCCATTAAGCATCTTGCTGCGTCTAATGTTTTCTGGAACTCGTTTTGAGGAGGTCTAGTCTGCAGAGAGTGTGGGGAGCCTGGGTTCAAGTGTTGGCTCTTGACTCTCAGCAAAGCTTTGGTTCCCTGTGTTGCCTGGACTGTGCCATGCGTACCACATACCTTGTATGTGACCTTTTCCTCGTCCCTCTTCCCACCTGCCATTACCTCACAATCCACAATCTGCACCTCATCCAGTTTTCTTCGGAGGCAAGCACTCTCATACTAACTTACTTCCCTCATCTGCATCCATGTTCTTCTAGGCCAGAAACTTGGGAGTCAGCCCTCCCTCTTTGTTACTTCTTCTTCCTCTTTGTTGCTTTATCCCCTCTGTTACTAAGCATTCTTCTGTGTTCTTTCCAGCTATTTCTTTTATTTTCCCTCAGTCTCCTCTGGGATCTGTTTGCCTCCATCCCTCCCAGAGCTTGGTTCACCTTCCATCGAGTCCCTTCCTGAGACATGGTCACTCATGCCACTCCTGCTACCTTCCACTTTGAAGCTAACTCCCTCCACACTGATGTCTCCAACGTACATGTGTGCACATGTGCGTGCACACACACACACACATACATCCTTCTCCATTCTTAGGCTAGAATCAGAGAGATGATGTCAGTCATTTGTTCAAGACCACGCAGCTGGGAGGTGGCAGAGCTAAGTCTTAATCTCAGGGGTTTTGAGAAACTGCCTTCTCATCCATGATCACTGATTTCTACAACAGCCTATCAGGAACTCTGGGTAGAAATTATTTCCATTTTACAGTGGAGTCGGAGCGGGGAGGGTTCTGGGCAGGCGAGTGCTTCACAGATTGACCAACCATCTAGGTTTGCCCCACACTGAAGGGGGTTTCTGGGGATGGTTGGTCACCTAGTGCTGGATGTGGTGCCTGATGCTGGGCAAGAGGGCCCTCTCCGTGGCCACGTTGCCTCCCAGGAGGAGACTTTTCCTCTGCAGCTGCAGCCTGGCCGTCTGATGCAGCCTGTGGAGCAGTGGCAAGTCCTGTGGCCTGCTAACTTCTCCCTCCCTCCACCTCTCTAGTGGGCCCCATGCTGATTGAGTTTAACATGCCTGTGGACCTGGAGCTCGTGGCGAAGCAGAACCCAAATGTGAAGATGGGTGGCCGCTACACCCCCAGGGACTGCGTCTCTCCTCACAAGGTGGCCATCATCATTCCATTCCGCAACCGGCAGGAGCACCTCAAGTACTGGCTGTATTACTTGCACCCCATCCTGCAGCGCCAGCAGCTGGACTACGGCATCTATGTTATCAACCAGGTGAGGCCGGGGAAGGTGGAACGAGAGAGGGTGTGTGTGCGTGCAGCTGCGTATCAGATGTGTGTGTAATGAGGGCAGGGGAAGGGGAGTGATTTCACAGACACCTGGCACTTACAGCGAGGAGCCAGTCCCCCAACCACCACCAGTGCAGATGAGCTAAACGCCAAACAGTGTGCTTGCCTATTGCTGTCAACTCTGTTAGCCACGGGAAATGCTGGTGTGTTTTCATTGTTCTGTTTTTGTTTTCTGGAAGTAGCCTTCTAGCAAAATTGGGAAAAAAGACAACCCTAATTATTCCAAAGTAAACACTGATTATTCCCTGGGTTTGTGTAGCTGTGTATTTTCCTTTTAAAAATAAAACCATCATTTAGATATCAGACTTTTAGGTAACTTCAAAGTTTATCCAGTCAGTCAGACTGTGTCTCCTGGGGCACCTGGAGACAGTGCCCTTGGTTCAGGTCGCATGCCTGCATGCCAGCCCCTGGTGAAATATCTGGAGAAGTCTGATTCGTGGGCCATCTGAGAGTCATGTGGACTGGGCCGAGTCTGAGAAAAAGTTTCTCACTGCTCATCTGATCCATATATGTTGGACTTTAGCCCTGCTTAGGAAAGTAATGCTAAGGATAGGTCAGCTTTCATCACGATGGCATGGAGGATCAGATTGATCTAAGAGGCATCTTTATTGAAGTGAATTTTTCAGTGTATTTGAGGAGCATTATTTTTCCAAGAGTATAACTTTGATATTTCAAGATTATCCCTAAAATTCATGTCTTTAGACTGTAACCTCCTAGGTGCAATGACACATCCAACTTATCTAGGCACCCAATTTCATTGAAATTCATTTGAAGAGTCTGAGTACGCCCATTTCTACAAAGCCCAATGTCCATTTCATTTTGAGATAAACTCTGCTTTACGTAGGAGGATTGTTGGCAGTTTACTGCTTCCATCAAAGTCAAGGGACTCTGTGCACCTTCCCTGGGACCCCAGGGGAAGCCCTTGAGGACTGCTGTGGCACTGTGCCACATCACTCACTGCAGGGAGATTCTGAAGAAGTGTAAGGTCTTGGTCCTGCCCTGTCCCGAAGCCTCCAACCCGCTTCTGGCAAGTGGGACCCTCCCAGGGAATGATTTGTTAACAGTCCCAAATAGCCTGTAATTGGATGGTGACTGCCAAATGCTTTGGAAGCTCAGAGGAAGGAGAGAGAGCAATGGCTTGGAAGGACCAGGATATAAACTAGGTTCTAAAGTCTGCAGGGAGATGGGCTTCTCAGCTAGGGCCAGTGAGCAGGGACCTCAAGGCAGAAAGGAGCCTTGCATGTTCCTGGAAATCGAGATGCCCGCTGAGGTAGGAAAGCACCAGAAGCTCTGAGGCCAGGTGTCAGAGCTAAGCCTGTGAGGCAGGAGAGAGCAGAACAAGCCCTGTTATAAGGAAACTGAAGCAGGACAGCAGGTGTTGGGCAAACCCCTTGAGGCTGTTTGAATTATTTGACCAAGTGAGGTACAGACCGGGGGCCTGTGAACACCTGCAAGCAAGTCAGCCACGCAGTTATGGGTCACCTTGAAAGAATATTGGAGAATGCAAGAGAGAATAGGTAAATGTCCTGCAAAGTGCAGGTCACTGTAACCCAACAAGTATTCATTTAAGAAAAGCCCTGTGATGGAGAAACATTTGTCTGATGCCAGTGAACACATACCAGTGACGGCAAGATTCAGGAGCCTATTACTAAAGCAGTGGCAGCGAGCACCTGGAAGAGGCGGCCACCATCACCAGGAGACAGCAGGGATGACTAATAACAAGCCATGCCAGCTGCATCTCGTTTCTCTCTCTTGACAGTTGCTATGCCAGTAGATGAGGGATGTATTGTGGATACAGTGCTGTCATATCTTATCCAGCAGGGCATCTGACAGCATCCCACAAATCTGCCTGAGTAGAAGGCAGACAGCTGTGGTCTGGGTGCCATATAGGTAGGTTAAAATATATGTTTGGGCCTAGGCGCAGTGGCTCATGCCTGTAATCCCAGCACTTTGGGAGGCCAAGGCCGGCAGATCACTTGAAGTCAGGAGTTTGAGACCAGCCTGGCCAACATGGCGAAACCCCTTCTCTACTAAAAATACAAAAATTAGCTGGACGTAGTGGTGGGCGGCTGTAATCTCAACTACTCGGGAGGCTGAGGCAGGAGAATCTCTTGAACCCAGGAGGCAGAGGTTGCAGTGAACCGAGATCGTGCCACTGCACTCCAGCCTGGGCAACAGAGTGAGACTGACTCTGTTTCAAAATATATATATATAAAAAAATAAATAACATACATACTTGGGTAAAGAGGGTAAAAGAGAGTTAGTGATGATGCTGAATTTTTGAACTGAGGTAGCTGTTTTCAATGAAGACTGGAGCGTGGGATGCTGCATCTAGATATGTTGCAGTTTAGGTGAATGTGAGACTTCCCTATTTTGAAGTCAAAACAAATATTGGACCAGTAAAATCTGGCCACCAGCTTAAATTCCTGTGATACAATTTACATACTCCTCAGGCTCAACACAGTAGATTTCTGAATGTCCTCTACCAGCTACATGCTCCTGCCCTCCTCAATCCAAGTAGACGGAACAACTAACCAAGCCAGCTCAGACTGGTGGCACAGCTGTGCTGGCTAACACTGGACACCACCTAAGAGAGTGCTCCTCTAAAAGTATGCTTCCCCAAATGGAGCCAAATACGCTTGAGGATTGCTGGGTTGAACCATGTAAAGCAGGTCTCATTTCTGCAGAGCCTTCAGTACCCTGGTGTACACTGTAACCCCAGAAGTGTTTCCTGAGCTTGCCTGACTAGAAAACTTTTCCAAGAACTGTCTCAAGTGATGAGTGTTTTGTGAGTCACACTTTGGGGAAAGCGGGCCTAAGTTAGCGTCTCCTCCCAACTGCCTCTCTGCTTTCCCTGGAACACTAGGAACTGCCCATCCCCCCTCCTCTTTCCACTTCACAACTTAGCATCAGGAATATTTTAGTTTTGGTTTTTCAAACATATATACCTCCTTTTTTCTTATCTTGTCAGTATCATCTTTTCTTTTTCTTTTCTTTTCCTCATACTTTTTTTTTCTCTTCATCCTTTCCTTCTCCTCCAAGGGTTAACTTTCTACCTTAGGAGAATCTTTTCCTCTTTTTCTCCCACTTCCCCAGCTACTCTCTTATCATCTGCTCCAATCTCACCCTAATTGATCATTTTGGGAAAATATGATCAGAGTCCAGATGACTAAGTCAAGAAATGCTTAAACTTTGCCCTACCTTTCCAGTAAAGAATATTACCTAATAAATAATAAAATGGTAATGGGAAACCTGAGCCCTGAAAAAAAAGAGGTGGAAGGAGAAACATTTGGAGCACATCCTGTCTACAAATTAGGAACTGCCTGTGTTCTCCGTTTTGTGGTTATATTCTAGAAGAAGAAAGGGATCTTGTAGCACCTGGTTTTGACCTTTCTGCCCTGTTTGTTGAGCAAATAAACCTTATGGGCTGTTAGCCCTCTTTATAGCCTCTCAGCTGCTCCCTGGCCCAGACACCCTGCTGTCATTTTGACTCTTCATTCACACACACACACACACACACACACACGCACACATACATATGCACACACACTCCACACACCACACCATTTAGATTAGACAGAAAGAATGCTCAAAATAGCAGTGGCTTCTAAGACATTTAGTACAGGGGTTCCCAAGCAGGCTTTTCAGTATCGAATTTCTTTCTGCCCATTGAAATGCTACACAACCTTTACGCTTATAGCGAGGTCACAAGGTTTCATTCTACTTGAAGTAGGGGCCATGTCCCATTTCCACTTCCTTAGCTTCCCATTCAGTCTCTTCCTAGGGATTTGCCCAGACCCCTGAAAGGCCAGACAATGTGAAACTTCTGCTCCCATGTCTGGGTGAGAAAACAGTCTCAGAGAGGGACAGGCTCTAGAAAGTCTCATAGACAACAGCAGAATACGGCTCAAACCCCAGCATCTGATTCGAGTTGAGTGCCTTCTCTCAGGGCATCAGTGATGCTCCTCGCTAGCCAGGGTGCCCTCAGGTGTTGCTCACAGTCAGTATCCAGGGCCAAGAGTGTATTTGTGTGCTCAGACTGCCTGGGTTCAGCCTGGCACTGCCATTTCCAGTCAGTGACCTCAGGCAGGCTACTTTAGCTCTGCAAGCCTCAGTTTCCTCCTTGGTGGGGAGGCTGTGGGCATTCTTCTCATAGTGACAACACAGTAAATACCAGCCGTTACTGGGAAGGGTCCCTCCCTGCCTCTGCTCTCCATTCGTCCTGCCATTTCCTCTGCTTTGCCTCTGTGGTGAGTGAGTTCTTCTGACTCCCACCACCTCCTCCCCCACTCAGGCTAACATCAGGACCCTTCCTTCCTATTGGTTTGGACTCCTTGGAGTCAGGGATAACAGATAGTGGAATGAGCCAGGTGGCAGAATCTCAGAGGACTCAGAGGCCATCCTGGGCCTGTAGGCCTCTTCAGGGTAAGACACTTATCTGGTATCCCACACACAGGCATGAACTGCAGTTGTTATGACTCATACTCTGTCTTTAGTAGCTGGTAGCCCCTCCCATTTGACATGCCTCTATGGCAATTACCATGTCTTATATCTCAAAATAAGGATATTGGAAGGAATGAGTGGAGAAGAGGCTTTCCTGATTTGAGATAGAGAAGAGCAAAGTTTCTCTTTGTCCTCCAAGGAGCCTCTCCTCCCATCCTGACCTTAATACCAGCATAGGAAAATACTATTTGGCTCCTTACTCTGAGATGTGGATGTCAAGATACAGCATTCCCAGCACAACGGCACAGCGAGAAGAAAAGAGGAGGAGGAGAGAAAGATATCATAGCAAACAGGGATGTATGCTGCATTTCCTAATACTCGAACCCGGAAATGAGACTGTAAAGCCACTCAAGGTGAAGGGAGGCAGATTACTTTTTGCAGCAGCACTAATATCAAATTATGAAATGCAGGATGTTTGTGGTT